GTTGTAGCACACACACACAAAACAACCACAAAAAACCACTGCTAACAACAACAACAGAACAAACAGCCAAAAGAAAAAACAGAGAAGAAAGATTTAATAGGTCAAGGTTTTCCTCAAGACCTCTTGGTTTAATCTGGCATGAGCAATAACAGAAGTGAAACAGTGTATCAGATCTCTCAAGATTCAAGATCTAAAACAAGACAGAAATAAAAGGCATAAAAATCTAAATTTGTACACACAAATAAAAAAAAAAAAAAAAAAAAGTGTATCAGATCTCTCAAGATTCAAGATCTAAAACAAGACAGAAATAAAAGGCATAAAAATCTAAATTTGTACACACAAATAAAAAAAAAGAAACCAAAACCCCAAGCTTCTATGACTCCAGGACAAATTAGYTTTTAGTCCAAAGTGGCTTTTACATGTTTACTGATTCCAACCAAAAACCTAGAAGATTTTTTTTTTTTTTTTTGCTCTAGTCTTTGGAGCATAACTATCACAACACTCATCTATTCATTTGATTTGAAAGTATCAAAAATACCATAAAGTGTTACTGATTAACTACATTTACTACCGTTTCCATTACCCCTTACAGCAATTCAGTTAGGTATATGAAAGAAAAACAARATCTCAAAACTCTAAAAGGAGTAAACAAAGAAAGAGTATAATATTTTACTCCTTATTTTTTCAGACTTCCTGTGTCTAGATCTGAAAATCATACTTTACATATGGTGCAAAAATCAGTCATTTAAAAAAGACAAAATGCAATATATTAGTCAATTAAAAATGCAAAGGAATGTTTGATTAGAATGAAGAGCACAAATATGCCAAATCCCAGTTTAAAAGAGTAGCTCATAATATCATGTTTTTGATTCAGTTTTAAAACTGAGWTGAGATTTGCTTTCATCTATGCTAATTTTTAATTAATCTGCAGGGAAAAATATTCAAATAAGTAATAGMGAAAAACTTTTGATGTTCCTCTTGTTAATGCAACTGATCTGAGTTTGAAATGTTGATTTTTCACTGGATAACAACTGTATCCAGCAGAGCAGGCAGAGATCATTCCTCAGAATGCAATCTAATAAGCAAGGTCAAAGGGAGGAAGGGACTGAAGGAGTTGTAACTCCTGTTTGGCTACASCTTCAAGGACACCGTTTTCAATTTCTCTGAAAGGTCAAAGAATCAATCCACAACAACACCACCATGCACACACTGGTCAGCCAGCCCGACAGGCAGTAGTTATTCAAATCCATCTCCACACTAAACCTTCACTTGTCCTGAAGTGAAGAATAGTTAGACTTAGAAATTCCCCAAAGTAGCACCAATACTWAAACTTTACTCAAGAYCAGGACCATTGGTTAGGATGTTATRCCTGAGTCCTCATGGCAAAAGACATTACCCTCAGCTTATACCTACCYGATTTGAAAAGCAGTAGCTCTGAAAAAGGCGTTTCCTGGAGTCTCTTCCCCTACAACATTTGCAAAAATCAACCACTGAACTTTCTGAACTGACAACACCACAGTAAACAACATCCGCCGAGTGGTGAGGAAAGAAACCAATTACTTGCTTCAATCTGACATAAGATTATCAAGATTATTCTCAATAAACAACAGATGCTCACTGAGATGGTAACAGATGTTAGCATACATTRCTACAGAACCCTGTTATTGTATATGCAATACTTTAAAGTGAAAGAAAAGGTAGCCGTAGAAAACGGTARTTTTAAAGTAAAAATTATCACTGACCAAAATCTGTATAACCAGTACTTTTTAAGCATTACTACCTCCAATGAAAGCTCTCCTCAGGAAACAAACTGGTTTACACGCTTTACATTTTATACCTTTCTCTACCRCTGTCAGCAAAAGCAGAGTATTTTCAAAGAGAAATGCTGAATAAATAGCAGGACTAGGTGATATTTTCCTACTCCCCTGAGAAGGCTGATTAAAATATAYGAATGAAAACTGGCTACCTCAGGTAATCTAGGAACTTTTACTATTTTCAAACTATATCCAATTTTSAATCTGTTACTGTAGAAGACACACAACTTATCAGAAGAATTTTGGACAGGTTCCTCACATATCAAATGGCCTGCACAATGGAATCAGCAGAGTAAACTTACATTCACATCTGCTCACAATCACTTTTCAAATATAAAACATATACCACCCTAAAACTGCCTAAGAAATATATTTACTTGTAGTCTGAATTACTAACACAGTGCTATTTCACAGATCACTTTCTGTGATGCAGCATGGTCCAAGAGTAAGTCCTAATTTAGCAGCCACCAAAGTCAGAGAATCAGCATGTTTTTTTTTCTTCAAGCCCTCATGCCTCAGGTGTCTCTGCTGCACAACAAATGCAACGCAGATATGTTCTACTTCATAGAAGTACTGGGCAAGTTTTATTACTATGTATTTTTCACTCAAAGCAGGACTGGCTCATTTGCACAGCAACAGTTTGGGGTTTACAAGTTACTCACTATTCACCACTGTTACTGTAGTTTTGTAATAATTAAGAAACTATTTGTACCAGTCAGAAAAGCAGTGGGTGCAAGATTTATTGCCTAGCCTCCTCAGGAAGCACTTGCAACATAAATTGTATGCATAGTAGCAATCAACACGCTAAGCAGCCTTCTCCTAGTTTGAAATCTTCAGTTCTATTATTTTATTCTATTTATTAACAAGATCGACTATTTCAAAATTCAGGTTTTTCCTCCTATAGCAAGTCACAGAAKGTTAGATGAGATTTGCTACAGGCAGTTCATGCTGCAAAAACTACACTTAAAAAAACAWGATTTGAATGGGGCCAAAGTTTTATCCCTACATCTATCAAAGTGTCTCTGTACTCAAAGGGGTTTTCTCTACCTAATTTYATCACATGATCCAATTCCATACATACAATCACACACTGGTTTGGGTTGGAAGGGGTCKTGAAGATCATCTAGTTCCAACCCCCCTGCTATGGGCATCTTCCCGTAGCCCAGGTTACTCAGAGGCCCATTCATACATGMAAAATAACATTTAATATTGATAGTGAATCTCAAAGAATGAGAAGAGTTGAGTCATTTTCTCTTGGATACATGTAAAAAGAACTGTCACAGAAAAACACTGATTCAGTGGATGACCTTCTTCACTCTACAGCATTAGTGAACCATACTCTAATGAACTTACTGGCACAACATGCCAGCAAAAATACTTGCTTCAGATGAAGCACAAACATTCAGATTTTTCACACTTATAATCACCAACCATAGAAAGAAAACATTCAGTCAACACAACAGCTTTTGGCTAGAAAGCACTATTCTCAGCATGGAACTTCATACAGAAAACAGAACTCCAGTAGAACTACAAGACACTTAAACATGCAAACATAGTAATGCACATATTATCTTGATACAGCAAAGATGTAAAAACTTGCAAATGCTTCTTTCTCAAAACTCTCCTAAGAAAACCACCAACTTTAAATTCTGTGAGGCAAATMATATAGATCATTATGTTCACTCAAGATTATTTTTACAAGATGGCATCAAATCTGTTTAATGAATATAAAGAAATACCAAAGCCACCTGCTTTAGAAGTCTAGTCCACAGATGCGTTTTTTCCTCGCTTATTACGCAAGTGCTCTTGAAAGGATATTTCCTTACTGAGAAACAGAATTGTTACACCATTATATTCAATTAGCAAATATTGAAGCCTATCTTAGAAACAGTTCGTATTTATTTATTTTTAAAATAAATTCTTTTGCTCTATTAAAAAAAAAAAAAAAAGAGGCACGAATTTGTGACAATAAAGGACTGTCAAGAATTCCATTGGCACATATGGTCACGTTACAAGAACTAGAGCCGTAAACAGCCTGTCTGCACGGAGATACCTGTAGCTTTCAGCAAAGCATAGAGGAATTATCCAGCACTAGTCGCGGTTTGAGAATTCATAGGCTCAAGGTAGACATGTTTTGCAATGCTCTTTTTAAAGACAGAAGTCACAGTGCAAGAAAACAGAATACATTTGGTATATGATAATGTTGTGATCTACAGCAACTTTCTAAACAGCAAAGAATAAAACAAAACCAGCAATRAGCTTACACCACAGAGATACGGCAGTATCTCATGAAAGATTTAAATGCAGCTCCTAGCCCCCATYTCAGCACAGCCATGGATATTTTTCCAGCTTGACTGGATTTTCCCCCTCCCTAATTGCTAGTTTTAACTAAAGCCAACATAGATTAAGAATCAACCCTAAAAGCAGCACAGCGAGTGTGCAGCAATTACGTGCARAAAGGCATGTGACATTTTGTATCAAAAGCAGACCCTGGAAACGCTAAAACGTAGATACCCCTTCCAGCAGAGCAAACAAAACAACTGCCCGTCTGCTTCTGGTGCCCCGCCAATCCCCAACACCGCACACACGCATCCCAAATCCTCCTCCACCCCTACGTCCTCTGCGGACGAAGGCTTGGWCTCTCCAAAGCCCGCATTTTGCCCCGCACAGTCCGCAGGTCACCTCTGGGGCTGGAAGAAGGGGCAGGTGAAGCAGAAGGGCAGCGGGGGCAGAGCCGGCAGACGCAGCGCTCGGCTGCAATGGAGATTACAACGCCGAGCGGCCGCTTCCTGCGGCGGCCGGAGCATCCCGGCGGGCACGGGATGGGCACCGCATCTCCTGAGGGAGGGCTGGCAGCAACCTGTCCCCGCAGCTCAGCCCCGCCGCCCATCCCGGCCAGCAGCCGCTCGCCCTGCTCCCCGCCTCCCGGTGACCCCAAGCGCGCCGCAGCCCCTCACCGCAGGCACCCTGCGCGCAGATGGTTTTTCCGCACACCCCGCCACGTTTTCCAGGCAGACACAGCCCCCTCTGCTCCCCTCTGGACKCAACAAGCCGGTTCCAGTGTCTGCGCCCCAGCCTCGCCGCCTCCTCCTCCTCCTCCCCGCAGCGCCCGTCGCCCCCTCACAGCCCGCCGCCGCTGGCTGCACCCCTCAGCCTCCTCCGCACCGCCACCGCCGCAGCGCTCACCCGAGGACAGATGAGAACGGGCGGGAGCGAAGGGGCCGCGGCGGCCGGTCCCCTGACGAGGCTGTCGCTGTCTCGGTCCCCGCCTCCCGCCGCTCCCGCCGCCCCCTCAGGCACCGAGCGGCCCCCGCCCGACAGGGTGCGGCTTCCACAGCCCGCAAACCCAACAACGGYGCCGCCCATTGGCGGGGAGGCGCGTGCCCGACGAGTAAGCGGCTCTCCCATTGGCGGAGGGGAGAGGGCCGCGGGGCGGGGCGGTGGGGCCGCCTCTGGCGCGTCCCGCGGCTCCGGGAGCGCTGGGGGGTCCCCGGGCGGCCGGGAATGGGCTGGGAAGAGCCTTCGCACACAGGGAAAGGGGCTTTTGTGGCGCTGGATCTCTGAGGAAAGAAGCGGCGCGGAGCCTGGGAAGCTTATCTTAGAGCGGGCCAGGAGATAGGGGCAGGCAGACATCGCTAATCGCCGAGGACGCGCTGCGATAAGGGCTCGTTATCGCGCTGCGGTGACGGTGTCTGATCGCTGTCAGCTCAGAGCAAGGCCAGGGCGATCCAGGAGGGCAGGACTCCAGATTGTGAACTGCCTTGACGAGGGCTGGAGACACCTGTCAGAGCTGAAGGTGTTTAATCCGTGGAATATCCTCCGGATGTTAAATGCCAGGCTAACGGCAAGCCGTGCGCTTGGTTCAGGAAGCGTGCAGATACATCGCAAAGCTTGAATATCGGAGGCCTGATTAGATCTTTGTAAATCACCTCCTTAGATCTTCTGAATCCTTCGGAGAGCTGGTATAACCCCTCGGTTTGTTACAGTCACTGCAAGTCAAGCACCWACTGTAAAGTTAACTTCCTTTGTTACCTATTTTCTGTCCATTTTTACTACCGTTTCTGTGTCATTTTAAGACTGCTGCTCTACACTTGTTCGTGTTGTATAGAATGCTGCCTGCCACGGGACAAATGAAGACTTGGGGGTCTGGGAACATGCTCTCAGAAACACTAAACCCTTCTCTGCTATCTACAGCCCTCACCTCCGAGTTATCCATATGTAGGGAAGACCCCAGCTAGCAGAACCTGTTGRGTGTCTTCAGGAGCCATAAAAACTTTCTATGGAGTATGGGAGGAATCTAGCCTGCTCCAACCACCTTCACTGAGGAAACACACTCCACATATCTAAAACAGGCTCTAAATATATTAGAGATATACGTAAACTCGTCTGTGAATTCAGCCACCAAAGGTGGTTTAGGTGGTTTAGGTGTCAAGTGATGAGACAGAATGATTATGGCACCCCTGACAAGAAGGCCCTACTGGACAGAGAGCTGCCTAATCAAAACTGTCCCACAACTGGACACGTTAGTGTAATTACTAATGATTAGCGAATAGTGTCTGGATATTTTTTTTTTGTAAGAATTATCACTGTAAGCATAGCAGATTAATGTCATTTCACCTGCCTGGTTCAAAACCGTATAACCCAGTGGTTGTGTGTACGTACATGGCAGCATACTCTTGTCCCTGCTCTGCACCTGCAGGCTCCAGCCACCTGCCCATGCAGCATCTTCTCTTTGATTACCTGTCAAAATACTC